CGGACATTCGCAGATGTGATCGTGCACACGATTGATACAAGCCCATTGTTGAGACAGAGTAAGTTCTCGCAATGATCGATCTTGATGGCACAATCCTCCCCCGTATATCCGTCGGGACAATCGCATCTGGATCGATTATACATCGAGTACAGAGTTTCAGGTTTCACGACATAAATTTCCGGATTACTCACCTGTAACTCTTTCGCGTCGCGTTCTCTTCTTTGATGTTGACACAAATCGCGTTCGCGTGACAGGGTAACCAGTCACAGGGCAACAGATTACAATGTCGACCTAGGAAACCGGGTTTACAGAGACATTGCCAGGTACCGTTTACGGTACGACATGCAGATCCTTCTTCGCAAGGCATAAGCTCGCAGTGATCCATCGGAATCTCGCAGAATTGACCTGAACGATATGCACAAGCAACGAAAGAATTCGTTTTGAATATTATTAATTAGCGACAGTACCTTCGAATCCATCTTTGCATTCACAGATAAAATCGTTCTCGGTGCTCGTGCATCTTCCATCATTCTGGCAAGGATTGGTAGAACATTCGTCTATATAGATCTACAAGAATTATTTTGTCAATTTTCATTATGTGGATTTTATTGTAAATGTCGAATTGGAAAAACATCTACCTCACAATTCGCACCAGTATAACTACTTTTACACTTGCACTCATACGTCACGGAATTATCAGGATGTTGCCGTGTTTTGCACATTCCCTCGTTCAAGCATGGCGAAGAATCACACGGATCCTTGAACTCTTCGCATTTCGATCCTATGCAAAACAAAAATATATTAATTTTTGCAAAAGTCAAATAGAGGAACAAAAGTTAGAAATTATTATTGCCGTCTTGTGATTACGATTAAATAATCATATAATTTACCCATATAATATTCGTGACATTCACAAACAAAGCCACTTTCATCTTGTAAACATCGACCGCCGTTTAAACAAGGATCTATTCGACAGTCATCAAATTCCTCGTCGCGAATCGCCAGACAATCGTTGATGGTCACAGCGCCGCGTTTTTCCGTTGTCGCATTTGACGGACACAGCAAGCATTGATTCTGTCCATAATTTGGCTGATAAAAACCGACATCGCACGCGAAACAAGGCTCCATACCCAAATGCGATCCGTGATAGCGTCTACGCCGAGAATAATATCCTGATCGACATAGAGCTGCAGGAAAGAGGTACAAATTATAGTTTTTAAATCTAGTTTACGGCAACTTAATGCTTAATTCTTACGAATGCAATCTTTTAAGGATTTTGCATGCATTCTCTTCGTAAAGGTGTATTTCGGACAAGATATGCATGTCAACGAAGCAGTCATGTTTTGGTACTGGCCGAACGGACACGGCTGGCAAGTCCTGGTAGAAGAATCGTAGAAAGTGCCCGCGGGACATTTTACTGTAATAAAAATATCGAAATTGTATTTGTGAAACAAAATTAATATGTATATATATATAAAATGTTTTTAATCGAGAGGATATGTTATCTTCTTCCTTCGCACTTACCGCAACCATATCTCTTCAGTACGCTTCCGGGATCACAGAGATCCTGCGGATCCTTAAATACGAGATGCAGATTTAGAGCGAGCCTCGCGATCTCCTGATTAGTTCTATTATTAAGCAAGTTCAGTTTTCCCATCCGTGTCATCGTGTCGATTCTTTCTCTCAACTTTTGCATTCCCCGTTTGGGATTCTCAAAGTTTTCTTCAATTATCCTAGCTGCATGGAAAAATTTTTTTATGTTTTTTATGTTTTATTTAATTTATTGTTAAGTTTAATCGAATTTTAAATGTTTAAGTAAGAATTAAATTCAATTTTTACCTAGAAATTTGAACTTGATCTCTATTCTTTCTCGTTTCCGTTTAGGTCTGGTAATATTTTTGTTGGAATTTTGATTTAATTTAACTGCGCGTTTCAATCTTTTCAGCATTATTATTTCAATATTTCTGGAGATGGATTTGGTAAATCGAATTTGATCGTGATCAAGCTCGAATCTTCGTCTTCGTATTAAATTGTCCTCGAAATTTTTGGACGACGACATATCGTCTTCACATATGGGATCAAAATTGATTAGATTGCACTCGATATCATTGTCGCATGTTTCCAACAATCTCAATTTCAAGTCAATAGCAATATGTTCGCTCAACTAGAAGAAACAATTTATTGAATAATGTTGTAATTTTCTTTGTTTGAATCTATTGTTATATATTATTTTATATCGTTGTATATATTAGATATAAATGCTTACTTCGCGAAGAGCAGTTTGATTATCGCATATCACGCTTCCGTTACTTCGTAATATCACATTTCCTTCCTGAGATATCATTTTTGGTGTTTGTGTTTCTATTGACAAACATACAAAATCACAAAATTTCACATAGAATACAATTATGTTTAGACGATATGTCAGATGACTCTTGAATGATTCTTGAAACATAAGTACCTAAACATTCTGGTAGATGATTACTTTCCCACATGTGATCGTTCGAGTTATTACATTTTAATAGCAATTCATCGTTAACGATATTGAAATTCGTCGGCTCGATCGCAAAGTCATAGCCATCCTCGCAAGCTACAACGCATTGCGTTTCGCGATCGCCCGACGAAGAACAGTTTAGTTGACCATTTACAGGTGTTGTCAGATTTTTACATACATCTGGAAAAGATTTCCAAATAACGCAATATTGTTATGTACATTTTTTGTACAATTGTTAGTAGAAAAATATATACCTTCTACGGTAATGTTCAATACGCAACTTGCCCGATTGCCGTATTTGTCTGTCGCGTTATAAAAGATTTTTGTACGGCCAATTGGAAAGAAGGAATCCTTGCCAAGTTCATGACTTTGATTGACACGCACCGGAATTCTCGAATTGTCATAGAACACCGGCTCATCCCATGTTACATTCGCGAGACCACCCTCAAAATCGATATAAAACGTTGGTGGATCGACGCAGTTTTCAATTGTTGGCGGTTCTCTGTCTGCAACAATTCCAAGGAATATTTATTTCTCGGATATATTTTTTCGATTTATCAATCGATTTTCGTCTGAAACATGTTTCTTAGATCTTAGATACCGTCTTCGTTGAACATGTCTATGATTTACCGAGAACTTTAACTTTAAATTTGCATTTGGCTTTGTTGCCACTCGCGTCCTGAGCCACGTATACAACGATACGTGTGCCGATCTTCGCTTTCCAAGGTAGGATGATATGCGGCTTCGTCCACAACATGGGCGCTGTATCCGTGTTATCGGTTACTTCAGGTACCGTCCAATTCACGTACGCATAACTCTGTCCCTTCGCAGTTTCTGTCACAATTTCAGCCGGACATTCCAGGGAGGGTGGTATCTTGTCTACACATTGCGTTCAAAATATGTATGTTGTGCTTGAAATTAAATTCTACTTTAATCTACGGCTAATTCGGTTGAATTAAATCTTAAATGTAAAATTCAAATGTCTTAAATGTAAAAATTCAAATTTTTTAATGCAAAATTCTTGATCTCGATATTAACCCACGCATTGATTAACGCTATGACGTTTGGACCAAATTCCCGTGCGTCCAGTGCAGGATCTACTGGAGGGTCCTTCCAGGACAAAGCCCTCATTGCAAGTAATCGTGCAATTAGTGGCAAAAGACACCTTCGCCGGACCGGTACAGATTTCTGGGGTGATGTTACCATTCACGATTTGCGGTAGAGGTTCGCATTTCACAGCTATCGACATAACGTCTCCGTTAGATCTCTGATAGATACATGATATTATTGTTTCTTGTTACCTTTGCAAGTAACTTTCAGACCGTCCCATCGGGACAGAGGTAGACAATTACGCACTACGCTGCCGCGAAGTTGATAGCCGACATCGCACCGAAACTGGCAACGCGTGTCGATAGGATACACGGTGGAGTTCTCCTTAAATTGATGCTGATAGTCTTCGTCATGCTCGCATTTCACCCGGCCATGCGCGGGTGCGCGCAAAGCCGGACATGTCTTCACTGCAAGAAGTGTTGTTCAAAGATCTAGTTTGATCTCCTTTCAAGCTCTTTGAATTACTTACGCAAACACTGCGGCTCGTTGCCTAACCATGTTCCATCTTTACCACAGAGTCGGATGCTATCTCCCTGCAAGTGAAAACCAATCCTACATCTTATGCCGCATGCCGCGTGCACCACGTTGCTGCAATCCTTGGCCTTTAGCAGATATCCGTTTTCGGGAATTTTCAGCTTCGGACACGTTATAGCTGAAAAATATATCCGGCTCATATCGCGCGATATTTTGCAAATAATCTCGTGTTTATATTTATATTTGTAATGACAGCCACGCGAGTTTTCTTAAAGTCTTTTTAATTATTCTTTTGAGAAAACTTGCCAATACGAATAACATTTAAAATATGAAGCAACGCAATTACTGCGATAAATATATTATGAAAAAGGATATATTAAAACAATGTACACATGTTTTTTATGTTTTATGACATTATTTACATATTATTTTAATATTTTCTTTAAAGTATTTTGTATCAAGTTATACGTGTGAGACGGTTGATGATGAAAATTTTTACGGAATTTTATCTGGAAAGGAAATAACTTGTATAAATTATCTCTTAAAGATTTTTATTCGCGAAGAAACGTATTGACTCTCACTGCAGATAAAAATCTCGTTTAAAAGCTAAGAAATTTCCTATACTACTTCATTTTTGTTTTAGTACACAAACATACTGATGGTTAATGATAGTGATAATTTACAGTAATTCCAGATTTACTCCGAATGCACATGTAACAAATTACCCTCGCATTTATAACCATCTGTGCTGAATCCAGAAGCGCATATGCAATCTACTACCGAGGTAGCGGGAATCTTGACGGTGATGTGATTTACATCTGGACAGGGTATGCATATGGCAGTGGAATCTCCTGAGGTGTTCCCTGACGCATACGTCCCGTTCGGGCAAGCTGTTACAGAACGATAAGAGAACATTCGAAATAAAATACATATTATCTGAATTATAGGTATATAAAAAAATTGAAGGTGCGATCGAAAATCATATCAGGTTCGTCGTATGCGCTAATCGATCGGTAGATTGTATTCGAAAATGCATTTGCGCATTTCGCGCGCCAATCAACCTACGTTGACAAAAACCTCTGAGACCAGAGCCGAAATAGCCAAGTGGGCAGATGCAAGCGTAATGGCCAGTTGCGGTGCCGCAGGTGCAAGTCGCCAATTCGTCGCAGCACGTTCGATTTGCCGTATTATTCGCACATAGACTGTTGCAATCGGTCGGCAGGGTTACGGACACATATTGCCCGGTCTTCAAGTCTGAGGAAAGCGTTTAATTTGCCATTTTTAAATAATTTGCATATCTGGCTTCAGTGTAGCTCTGTAGTTCTTAAATTCAATTTTGAGTTTACATATTCGAAGTAACTTGTAAAACAGCATGCAATATAATTTTCAACAGAAAGAAATGATGCACCGCGATGCAAGGCGCGTCGAGCTAGAGCTTCAAACTCTGCGAAGCTATCGAGAAGGTAACTGTGCGTATATCCGGGATAGCTGGCGATGTCGTGCAACTCCTCCACGTTCCCCGTACGTATGCCAAATGTGAATACGATCGTGCCCATATTCTTCAGCAGATTGGCCGCAGGTCGCGGATCACCGCCATTGCTGAAGCCGTCGGTTATCAAGAATACCACCTTGCTCGCCGTTTCACGACTCTTCTCAAGAATCGCCTTGCAAATAATAAAAACGGTCATTTATACATGATTTACCAAATTCTAACGAATTTCTTTTATTATAATAATTATAATTAAAAAAAAATGATACGTTATTATCTCGTTGTCGAATGTGGCTTTGGTGAACGTGATACTTACTAGCGCTTCAAGAAGCGCGCCGCGCGTGTAAGTTCCTCCGCCGTTATAGGTGATATTGCTGAACTCTTTGTTCAGCAAATAACATTTGTGATCGTTGGGCCCGTGTTTAGAGATTTGATCAACATTCCGATACACATTACCTCGACCGCTGAAGGTAACCAAAGCCACTCGCGCGGCCATCGCGTCAACTGTAAAATCCGACAGGAGCTTCGTCACGAAATTGAGCTCGCTGCGGAAGTTTTCCGCGCCGACCGAACCGGACGCATCCACCAGAAATACTAGTTCCACCTGGCACGAAAATTGAAAGGTAATTAGGCGATCAATCTCTATTTCGGATGTTCCGTATTTCTCTTAAGTTTTGCTTTATTAATAACAAGGAAAAGATATATTTTATCTTTATCTACCTGGTCAGTTTTATTTCGCAATCGGTCTATGTGCATTTTTAGAAGATGAGACAACATGTCCGCTTTGTTCTTCAGCATCCTGTCGACAGGATTGTCCAGGTGCTCGTATTGATAATGGTCATCCCTGTTTATCTTCTGGCTAAAGTTCAAAAAGGTCGACGTGACATTACTGTCACTTATATCGCCCTTCAGACTGCTACTTGATTCTTCATCAAAGTCATCGACGCGCTCGGCAATATTTGAAAATAGAAAAAGCACTCCGATTATCAGCGGTAGAACTCTTGAGAAACCCATTGTTACGTTTTACAAATCACCATCAATGACGTAAAGTGATATCTCACATTTGAAGACGAGCGTTAAAATCTTTTTTTTATTATTGCATCTATGAGTCGTAATTTAGAAGCAAAAGGACTGTAACAAACGAATGCATTTTTTTTTCCATTCCTTAACTGAGTAGAGAGAAGAAAAGGACGAAGCGTGCACGCTTAAAAAAAAAGACTATCGATCGCTTTGAGGATCGGATTTCGCTTTCGCATTCATCATCAACCGCGAAAAAGCGTGGAAAGGCTCGCCGATTATGTCGTGAAGACTAATCGATTCCAATTTTCCCGTGAATCCGGAATCGTGAAAGCACGACGAAGGGAGACTCGCGGATCGGTCGGGCATGAAAACGAAGCGTTTACTGAGCAGAATCGCCGACTATAAAAGAGCACAACGTACGATGTGAAGACAAGGGGACCTCTGTTCCATCGAGTTCTTTGACGCGCGCATGAGCGTGCGGGTCTGCTACAAGCACATCTTCTCGATCTGTCTACGTGGTTGCCCTCTCGGCCCTGTCGAACGCGATTCGATTGCATTCCAGGCCGCGAATAAATCCAGCATCAATTTCTATTAACGTTAATTTGCGCTGACTACCGAATGACGGCGTCAATTCGCAATCACTCCACATTCGCGAAGTTTCTCCCAGCTTTATAGCTTCCGAGAGACACGTGCCGTTCGATATTTATTTGTGCGCGCCTATCATTTCTCCTTTTTTAATAAGATACAGATCAGATACAGGGAAAAAAAAAATATATATATATGTAAAAATTTTGATCATGCCATGCTTATCTCGTGTACGGAGGGAATGTTTCACGGCAACGCATGGCACAAGAAAAATGTCGCAGTTTCCGCGTGACCCGTACGCGTATCACGTCGACTCGATTCCGGGTCAATTCCGGGTCAATCTCTCAGCTTGTCGTGCACGCCGATATACACGCGATACACACACGTGTGTGTACGTTAATATATGTAACGATACGTGTCTTCCGTCGAAACTCGTGTTAGATCGTCGCTATCGTTTCGTTAGCTGTGTGACACGCGATAATGAAAACATTTGAAATATTTTCTTTTATCGCATTCAAATGAATCACCTTGGGTCTGGTCACGATCCCCCCAGGGAATCTCGAGGTTTCTGTAAAGAACCGCCGGACGATGATCCGTTAAAGTCATTTTGTCGTTTTTGCGTGGTGTACCATGTTAATCGTGAAGGTCGCATTCCTGGCAACTGTGCTCTTTCTCGTTGTCTCAAGTCTCGCATCGGAGGAGAAGCATCATTCTCGTTTCTGGCGTGTACTTCGATCGAGCGACGATCATGCGTCCTCCATGAAAGAACGAGAGACGTCAGATTGGTATTTTGAGCAATGTTCTCTTGTGAATACATGGAAGGAGCATATCGGCTATGTCAGCGTGTTGGCCTTTCTGGATCCAGCTTGGTATTACAGCTTCCGACAGGCGATCATGTAAGTCGATCGATAACTAAGAACGCACTCGATGCTGAGAACGCATGTGCGACTCAGCAAAGAGATTCACGTTTTTTTTCCCCCTTTCTCTTATCCTTTTCTTTTATTTTCTAATTAATCGAATCAGGCTGAAGCTGCTGAGCTTGCGTTTATGGCAGTCCGGTTTCCCGGACATACGGTTCTTCATGATAACACCGTTCGCCGCTCCATCAGAGGACGGGAATGCCGAAGACGATTTGGAGATCGAGGCGTGGCTGAAGATTGGAGCGAAGTATGAAATGGAGATCATGGATGATCAGTTTCTCAGAGACAACAGATCGGAAATCACTTTCCTTCGAGATAATCCACAATCTCGTATATGGGAGAGGTTCCAAGCATCGAGGGATCAAATAGTCGTCATCGATCGGTGAGACAGAAAAACAGAAAGGAATCGATCGATTCCATTAATTTCATTAATTATAATTATCGCATCTTTTCTGAGTACGTGCAACAGTTGATTTTTTTTTTTTTTTTTTTGAGAAAATAAAAACAAGCTTGTAAAAAATTTAATAATATTAGAAACTGAAGTGGATGCGTTAGATACCGACTCTCCAATCGATTATGTTAAACGGAAACCGACCAAGTGTCGGAAGACAAATTCCATCGAATGAAAAATCAATATCACTGATTTTAGATGCGGGAAATTAACGTACCAGATAATAGTGCCGTGGAGTATTTTATATTTTCCTTATGTCAAAGCGGCTATACTGTCGACATATCAGGAGGACCCGTGCAATGGATGTGACGTGAGTATATTTATTTTAAATAAACTTTTATCTCGCACGCCGCGTGACATTGATAGCGCTGAACTCTATTCGCGTAATGTGAGTAAGATAATTATATAATTATATATTTATCGCTTCCGAATAATTTCAGCCTACTGTCTATCGAACACCGAGTCCTAAGAATTACACTGAAAGATTAAGAAACAACACCGACGAGGAAAGACTGAGTGCACAGGGCGAAATCGACGGTGAGAACGCTAATTCAATGTGGACTATCACGCATATGGAAAACTCCGCGATTTATCATAACAAATCGTCGACAAAGGAGCACGAAGCGAATAATATGTTATCCATTTCTCTTGAGGGGACCACAGATAATATCGATCATCTGAGTCTTTCTAATGCGACGGAAACGTCAACGGAATTTACAATTTATCAATATGATAACGGCACGACCGAATCTTGGTTCGACGAAAATCGTCCACACATGGAAGAAACGCGACGTCAGGAGAACCTAACAAGTTCGGACAGCAACGATACCGATGGAATCATTACGTCTTTTGAACCACAACGAGACGTGTTTCTTCCAGAACAGATGGAATCTCACCTGCAGACGTTGACAAACAATAATTCAGTCGTGAATCATAAGGATACGACGGATCGTATTTTATTGCTCGATGAACCGGCGGCCGATGAAATCGAGAATGACTCGACATCTGTGGATGAACAGACGACATTTGATTCAGCGAATAAGATACGAGGTAACGACGGAATGTCGAGTCCTTAAGATAAAGACCTCGTCCATTCGGCAAAATAAATCCAATCAGTATTATCGTATTAGTATCAGTATTATCTTAATTAATCTAACAAATTGTTATTTTGCAACAGATGGAAAAGCAACATCAAAAAATGGACATGTGGAAAAGAATACATTGGTCCCATTACGCATAATCATGTATGCTCCGCACGTGCATAAAAATGGCAGAAAAATAAAAAGTACAAGCATTTGGTTCTGAAGACTGACGATCCTAATTTTCACGAACATCTCGAGTCTAGAATTGACGTTACTCCATCGACGAATTCGTGCCAGATACTAATTGATGTCTGTCATATTTTTGTTTAACACTTATTTTTTGTATTTATATTAATTTATGATATTGTATTTGAGATGTCTCTCTCATATAGCTGATGACAATTAATTTTTTTAAATATTATTCTTAGATTCTCAATAATTGATATTAAAATTCTTTGTGAATTTTAAGGACGCCGATTCTCGACTAGCAAACTCCGAAGAATACAATTGGAGAACCACAGAAGCAAACGCAGATATAGAAAATCTTAATTCAATACACTTTGATAAAGATGAAAGTCCAGGATTGTATGGCGAAGTAACGTACTATTGGAAGAGTTACGAAGATAACGATATCACGGACAGAAATAAAGCCTATAACAAGACTAAGAATAATTCCATGGTAATTTCCAGCGAATAAATTTCTTTAAATGTCTCTAAATGTAAACATTCTTTTTATAAATTTTAGTTTATTATTTATCAATTGTCGATTTCTAACAATGTAATTTTTAATAGAGTAGTTTGTTAATTTATTAATTTAGATTTCACATTTAATATTGATGCCTTTAATTTTTAGACGAGCTATAATGAAAAGCATTATACTGTCAACGATTATGCAACGAATCACACAAAGTCTCAGGAAGAAAGCTATTCAAATGTTGCAGAAAATCCAAATGTTAAGAGTTCAACTGATTCACAAAATGTCATTGATTCAAGTACGATTAATTCTTCCAAGCCGATTGATACGGATAAGATCGATAAGATCGATAGGGAAGAAAAGGAAAGAAATAAAATGGAAATTTATTCTAAACTTCTATTTTGGATCCATTACAAATTAAATTAATAAATTATCATTAAATTTTTTAATGATATTATATCGATTTTATTCTATTCTTAGGAACTTCTCTATTTAAAATATTTTATTTAGTAAAAAAACATTATTTTATTAACATATTGATTACATTATATTCTTGAAGTTTTTACATGATTTTTGCAATATTCACGAAATGTTGGCATTAACAATAATTTATGACACGATGGTAATCCACAAATCATAACACACACACACACACACACACACACACACACACACACACACACACACACACACACACACACACACACACACACACACACACACACAC